AGGTGACCTTTTGGATTTATGACTAAAAGCTCGAAAGTGAATTTCTGTGAACTTTTCATCCAATCAATTCCAGTGGCCAAAAATCACTTTTTGACGCAGTCCATGCTGTTTGTCCACGTACTAGTCAACCAGTATGTCACATAATCGTAATGTCTCTTCTATAATGGAATATTCTTTCGCTTGTATTCTGACAGAATAAAGCTTATATATACAAAAAAAAAAAACAGAACACAGGCTGAGAACATAATAAAAAACAGCAGAGATAAAATAAATTTTTATGCTCTTTCATCTAAAAGACTATTAAGTATTCTACACAATGATAACTGCATTCGACCGCTTCAAGTAGAAAGAAATATAACAAAAAATAGTTCTGAATATTTACTTAAGAAAATGCATTGATAATAAAACAGAGTACCCAAAACGAAATGAAAATAAATGTCATCTGCTAACGAAAAATTTTCATTTCCCTTATTATTAGATGGTAGTTTAAGAGACGGACATATCGATGCCAAGTATCAATCAGAAGATGCACCATTTGAATATGATTTATTACATACATTACCACTTGTTATTATGAACGAAAATGAATTACGTCCAATACCTGGTAAAAATAATGGTTATTATCGTATATTATGGCAACAAAACAACATTGATCATCGTAGTTTACCACATTTTCAATTGAATGATATAGAATATATAAACGGTTATCAATTAAAAGAAGACATACGATCATCTGTTGATACGCATAGCCCAAGACAGTTAAAATCATTCGTTACACCAGAAAAAGCAAGTATACTTTTACAATACCAACACGCAAATCATGCTGATAATAATCATACGTTTAATAAAGTCACAGAATGCCAAAAAAACTTAACAGATGAACAGCGTCTTCGAGCCAAACAGAATACAAATTTAATATTTCAGTTTTGTTCAGATATATTTAATAAAAATGGAGCTCAATTTTTACATAGATGTTCACTAGATGTTCTGGATATGAATACATTACCAAAACAGTATGTACGCAAACAATGTAAACGTATGCATTTACTTATTCGTTTGTATGAAAGATTAATTTTATCCCTTATTGGTATACATCTACCATCGAATATTGCTCGACGGATTCAACTAGTACTGGATTATTATGAACAATATCGATCAAAGATTAATTTTAATATTGCTGATAAGGACAGTTCATTTAGACCATTCTACTTTAAAGAAGGTAGAGAATAGGACACAGTGGGCATCTAAGCGGAAATTAGGCGAAAAATTCGATCTGCTCATTTTTCAAATATGAATAGTGCAAAATGTAGCCCTTTTAATTCTCTATCGAATGGTGTATAAATGTCTATTTTGATGTTGTCTCCGTCGAGGAGAAATAAGGACACGAAAAGTATATGACGAATATCGAAAAACATGACACGAATGCTGGAAACTGTGAATTTTTATTCTTACATCTATGTTAAAACATTTGGAAACACATATTCGGAATCAGCATGTCCTCACCTATCTTTTGATAACAAAATGTATATACTTTAAT